CACAGAGGCAGCTGGCCAGCAACTGAATGCAGATTTCAAAGGGAAGAGGGAAAACCCAGACCAGTGAGAAAAAAAAAAAGCAGTAGCTTTGGTTGAGATCCATAAATAATGGCTACAAATTTATAATCTGAACAGGAAAAGCAGCCTCTTTGAGCTGGAAAACACCCTCACAATGGAAGGTAACACCCAACATGCTTCCCGGTGGAACACAGACCCCGTGGACCCTGTCAAGACAATCAGAGAAAGCTGTCAACTACACGGAGAGGAGTTCAAACTGGGCCAGCATAAGCTGGTTTTTCTCTAATCCCTTAGAGAAGGGGACTTAAGGAACTGTCTTCAATAGGCTTCTGCACAGTGAAGTTGTATGAAAACCAACCAACCTATGCTTACGTTTAAATATAATAAGCTGTGTATAGTTCTTAGGCTTAAGTCAGCATCCAGTTGTTAACAAAATTTTGTTCTCAGAAAATTTTAAGTGGAAGGGCTCTGATTGGTAGGTAAATTCCTGGGCAAAGCGGACTTTTCTATATCATTGTTGCAGGTTAAAGTCCATTCCAAGGCATAGAATGGTCAAAATATAGGGTAATGGACACCCATTATTTTAGCTACCACTGCTATTATTTCAGCCTTGCCATCTCCTCTCTCTTTTTTTTCTTTTCCTTTTCCTCCTCCTCCTCCTGTTGTTATTGTCATTGTTGTTGTTTTTGTTCTCCTCCTCCTCTCCCCTCCTTCTCCTTCCTTCCTCCTTCTTTCATTTTTTCTTTCTCCCTTTTTCCTTCTTCTTTCTTCTTCATTTTGTGGCTCAATCCTAGGCCCTGAGCTCAAAGCTAGCACTCTACCACTTGAGCCACAGCTCTGCTTCTGATTTTTTTGGTGGTTACTTGAAAATAAGAGTTTTGTGGACTTTTCTTCCCAGGCTGGCTTTGAACCTCAATCCTAGATTTGAGCCTCCTGCGTAGCTAGGATAACAGGTATGTGCCCAGCAAAATGTAGTATTGTTTACCTTTTGCCTTTGGCAGTCTTAGTTCTTAAACTCAGAGCCTCACACTTGCCAGGCAGGTTGTCTGTCACTTGAGCCATGCCCCCACATCGTCTTCCTTTAATGGGCTCTTTAGGCCATGGTTCAAGTAGTGTTGACTCCTTCCCTGGCATTTGGCCGAAGGCTCTGTGCCTAGCAGTAACTGATTGATCCAAGGTGAGGCATGTGATCCATGCTGAACAATTCCAGAGTCACTTGTGTGAGAACTCTCAGAAGGCCTCTTGTTGCAGATGTTGCTATGCCTAAGAATGCTTCCAGTAGGAGCTGCCAGCAGCCATCTTTGACAATGCCGAAGAAAATTAGGTGATAGAGCACAACTTCATGAATATACTAAAAACTACTTTGTAAGGGTAACTTTTTATGAGAGCTGTGTTGCAATTAAACTAAAAACAAGAATCATAGACCAGAGCCTGAGCTAACAGCTTGTGAGAAGAGGTGAGAGATGCCCAAGACAACCTTGTGAAGAAACTTCAAAAGGGAAAGTGGCAGAACCTGGTGATGAACTGTTTAAAGGGTATGAGGAGAAGTCACAAATGACCCCGAGTTTCTGGAGGAGAGGAAATAAAGGAAAAGAAGGGAAAATGGGAGGAGGCTAGTACGATGCCATCCTGAGAAAGAGAAGTGGCAATGAAGGAGGAGAAGGAGGAACTTCACCAGTTCAACAGACATTGACTCACAAATGTCATGAGCTGGGTCCTGGTGGGTGCAAGTCTCCCACACTGTGAGTTGGACTGGGAGAAACTGAGCCTCTCTGGAGGCTTGTGGGGGGTGGAGGGATAAGAACAGCCCAGGAGTCTGCATGCATGCAGTCTCTGGCAATCTTCAGGCTGTGGCTCTGTGTGTGTGCTCCTTCATGTTATACAGACCAATAAAAATCTTTGACAGAAATTTGGGATTATTTGACAAGTAAGATGTCTAAAAGAACACAGTCCCCTTACAGAATTCTGCAATTCTGTATATAAACAAAGCCTTAGCCTTGGCTGTGTCTTTTAGATATTTGCTAGGCCATGCTCCAAACGTATAGCATATGTATCTGCCCACAGTAGACTTCTGAGGGGCCCTGCTTCCAACCTTGTGGGACATGAGAACAGTGAATGTTCACAGTGCTTTGCTGTTTTGTCTCTCAACATCTGGCTTCGAAGATGTTTGGCTATCCATCCTGCACTTCCTAGTGGCCTCTTTATGCCTACTTGAGAACTTAAGACTTCTAGTTCACCTAGACCCACTGATGAGATGGTGTTTTGAAAACACTCTTCCTAAAGGGACAAATGCAACAACAAAAAGTTGCTTTCGCAAGACTTATAAATGAACCTAAAAGCTCAAAACCGCCACTCTGTATCTGTGATGTCTGATTGGAGCCATGCCCTGCTACAGTCACTTTACAATCACCTTGGGCTCTAGGAGGGGCATTAGTTATCTAGCAATAAGCATCTGTGACAAAAGGCAACTTGCCCACCAGGCAATGCTTTCTTATTATTTTGAAGAAAACATTCAAAAACTACAGAATACTCGCCAGGCCTCCAGTGTCAAAAACTGACCTAATGATCAACCAGGCCATACCTGTGTACTCCCTACCCCCATCTCTCCCTATTTAACCTGAAGCTAATGTCTGTACTCCTAGAAGATGGCTGAAGATGTACTACTGAAGGGCTGTCTTCCCATGGCTGCCATGTAGTAAATCTCCTACCTCTGCCCTTCACCATGTCTCTTGTTTGGCATATGGGGGGGGGGGTGAGAGGCTGGACCTGGCATGGGACTCCTGGATTTTGGTCTAAAAACCCAGTTTCTAAAACACACCTAGAGGATCAGAAAGGGCACTTCAGAGTCATTTCACCACAAAATTGAAGGACATTAGAGCAAAGCAGCATTTTAGGTTTGGCCAAGTCTGCAGACTTGAGTGGTGAGGGATTGAGGAAGATATTCCCCATTTTGGAAGGAAACTTCAGGTCTCCATCATGAATGCCAGAACCAGGCAAAGCACCACCCTAAGCAAGTCTGTACCTTTTGTTTACCTCCCTTTGATAAACCTTGAGTGGCTCTGTGGCTCAGTTCCTGCCTTTGATTGTTTTGTCTGCATATTTCCTTCAAAGAGTTGATAAAGCAGCAGTCTTGAGCAGGAAGATAAGAAGCACCAACTCACTGAATAACATCAAGGGGAAAACTGCTAGCTCATCCATTTTGTTGTTCCGTTGCTCAAAAGGATCAAAATACCAATTAACTTGCTGGCTCAGAAATCTTTGATATCCTCAGATTTACTGACACTTTTGAAACTCTTGCTCCCACTTGCCTAATGGTTTTCTGATTATGAACAAAGAGGTGCTGATCTGTTTAGCATTTGACCTGTTTTCTTAAATATTTTTAGGTATTCAATACTTTGTGACTAAAAATACTTGTTACATTTATGAACTAAAATCATCTTTTTTCCCTTGTTCCACCTCCATATTTGAAGGGGGGTTGTGGAAGAGGCTTAAAGGGTACTTCTTTCTTAAATGTTATTTCATTCTTATTTTTAATGTGAAATTTCTCATTTCAAGGGACTTTTCCCATCTTTTCTTTTCAATGGAATTTATCAGAGTTTGGAAAACTTAAAGCAAGCTACCATGTTTAGGATCCACTCTTCTCTAAGGAAAGATTGGAGAAATGCAGAATTTGCTTCAATCTAGGAGTGAAGAGATAGTCAGGGTGGCTGGTGAATAGATTTGAAGCAATCTGAATATTTCTTTCCAGTCATCCTCATGTTGGTGCTTCCTCCTCAGAAGTGGTTATTGTTTTTCACTATTTCTTGCCAGAAAACTCTGTAAGTCTCACATGTGATCACCTGCATATGCAAGACATCCCACAGCAGTTGTTCCACAGCAGTGTTCCATTCTTAGCAAACGCAAGTTTCTCAGGTTGGAAAGCTCCATGCAATTTGTGTACCTCAGTAAACACTGGGCATGGCACATTGATTAAGAAGTCCAAAGCCAGGGTACCTGGGTTCAAATCCTGGCTCTACCATTTTATACTGTGGGAACTTGGGAAAGCCACAAAATTTCTTTGTGTGTCTCAATTTCCACATGTGTAAAATGTGATAATCATAGAGCCTAACTTGTGGTGTTGTCCTCTAGATCAAACAAGATTACATATTTGCTGATAATCCCCTAAAATGTCCTATACTCTATGATATTTTCTGTGCTACATGATCAGTTATCCTGTAACAGTACAGACCCTAGAGAAGAGGATTGCACTCAAATCCTCCAGAATCATGCCCCACTTCTGAAGGAATACTTCAATCACAATACAATGTATCTAGAGAATGCAAGACCTAAGAATTTATATAATAAACATGCCTACTGACATTTGTGTATGTAAATACTGGATCTTGAACTCAGGGCCTTAACACTGTCCCTTAGCTTTTTGCTTAAAGTTGGCACTCTGTTACATGAACCACAACTTCAATTCTACATTTTTACTGGTTAATTGGGTGAGAAGAGATTCATGGATTTGTACTGCCTGGGTGGCTTCAAACCACAATCCTCAGACCTCATTCTCCTTTGTGACTAAGATTACAGTTGTGAGCCACTGACACGTTTTAACATGATCAAAAAGGAACACAACCTGTCCTCTGGGACACTGCAGTTTAGTTGGACTACAATTTAAAAGTAGAATATTTGCCAGGTGCCAGGTGCTCATGCTTATAATCCAAGCTACTCAGGAGGCTGAGAGCTGAGGACCAAGGTTAAAGCCAGTCCCCAGTGCAAGGCCCTGAGTTCAAGCCCTAGTGCCAGTACACACACACACACACACACACACACACACACACACACACTTTAACAAGATTTAAACAATAAGTGGCAGCCAGTAATCTGCCCATCACATGTTTGAAGGGAGACAGGCAGGTGGACCCACTCCAGGGCACAGAATTGATCGGGGTAGAGCAATATTTGCAAAATGCACGTGTATTCAAGGATGCTGGTCTGACCTTTTCACAAACTCTTCGAAGAGGATGCGGTGGGAATAGCCCTGCCTGCGGATGCTGACAGTCTCCAGGATCCCCGTGGAGCGGAGCTGGGCCAGGACCCTCTCTTCAGAGAACTGCAAGGCCTTGCGTTCATCATTGGGTTTAATGCAACGCACGAAATGGGGCTGTCCAACCACCATTTTGGAGAGCAGATCCATCAGAGAATACTACCAGGGAGAAAAACACAACAGAAGATGACGTCACCACTATGAAGGGCCTGCAGAGGTCTTCAGAGGAGCTTGAGACTTATAAATCACCCTGTAAGCCTTTGAGGCACAACAGGCAGTCAGCAACAGGAGATGGCAAGGTAAGTTCTCCTTACAGCTGCCTAAAGATTCAAACACATTCTTAAATGACTCCTAGTGCCGAGTAATGCCACATGCTAAGAACATGCTTTAGTTTTCCCTGGAATACCACCATTCTGTTATTCAAAACAATGTTCTGCACGCTGTAATTTACAATATCCAGCTTTGGAGAAAGGAGTTGGCTGTTTCTTTTGCCTAAGAACTACTAAAAAGTCTAAAAATTGCTTTATAGATGGAATGCTGGACTAAAAGGTCTGGGACTACATAGGCACAATTCTACTTTGTCTCTGAAACACAATTGGCTGTGTTGGACTTTGTGGCTGTGTGTGTGTGTGTGTGTGTGTGTGTGTGTGTGTGTGTGTGTGTGTGTGTGTGCACATGCACATGTGCTGACCCTGAGGCTGGAATTTAGCCTTTTCACTCAAGACTGACACTCTACTACTTGAGCCACAGCTTCACTTCTGGCTTTTAAGTGATTAATTGGAGATAAGAGTCTCACTGACTTTCCTTCCCAGGCTGGCTTTGAACCACCATCCTCAGATCTTAGCCTCCTGAGTAGCTAGGATTATAGGTGTGAGCCACAGGTGCCCGACTGACTTTGTGGCGTTTGAGCCTTTTTGTACGGGTTAGCTTCCCATAATACCTTCTATCTACAATGCTGTTCCCAGATCCTGCCCCTCAGCCTGCCTGGCTCCTCCAGCTATGACCCAGTTTCCTCTCACTGACCATCCAGCCCTGCACAGTCACTTTCCGGGCCAATCCATCTCACTACATTATTCTCCTGCCACAGAGATCAGTTCCTGCTTCAGCATAACAGTATCTCCACATGATGCTACTACCTGATGAAGCTATATAAACCTAGCTACAAGATACTACAAAAGATGAAGCTACCTGAACTTAGCTCTCAGAGGAGCATGACCTCTGAAGGATTTCCAGCTATGTAATAAAGGTCAACCAATCGGTGCAATTTGGTAAACAAATATATGTTTTATCTGGACATTTAACAGAGTGCTCCTAGAAAAAAATGCTTTTATGCAAAGAAGGGATTTTACTAGATGGAACACAGAAACGGGGATGGCAGAATTAGGAAAGATGCTAGGCATGGTGGCACACCTGTAATTCCAGCACTGAGAAGGCTATGTAACGGCTTGGGCTACAGAGCCTGACTCAGACTTACAAGCAGCCAAAAATAAAAAACAAACAACCAAGGAAATAACGGGGTGGAGGCAAGTGGAGTTTGCAATGGGGCAATTCAATCAAGGAAAATAAAACTGGTGCTTTTCTTTTCTTTTTTTTTTTTTTTTTGTCGGTCGTAGGGCTTGAATTCTAGGCCTAGGCGCTGTCCGTCAGCTCTTCAGCTCAAGGCTAGTGCTCTACCACCACAGCATCACTTTCAACTTTTTCTGTTTATGTGGTGTTGAGGAATCAAACCCAGGGCTTCATGCATGCAAGGCAAGCGCTCTACCGCTAAGCCACCCTCTCAGCCCCAAACTGGTGCTTTTCTAGGTATCTGAGCTTGATAAATTTTAATGAACTATGATTTGCTGGAGAAGTGGCTGACTGGCTATTTTAAAGTGAAGGTGCAGCCCAAAGACTCACAGCAGCTCAGTGGCAAGAGCTGCATGCTGGGGTTCTCTCCTTGCAGTCCTCTTCTACCTGCCCTCCCCTTGCTTTACTGATGCTGGCTTTTTGCCCTGGCTCCAGCGACTCTATGCTATCTGGCCCTGGCATGGGAGGATGCAGCAAGTCCTTTTGGAAGCAAGAAGACAGAGATGAAGCCCAGCTCACTCGGAAGTAGGACGCCACGGTTTGCCTCTTCATGTTGGTGGTTTCTTCTGGATGCCGGATCACCTCAAGGGTGTCCACCTGGAAGCAAGCACAGACATGACCAGTAGTTAGAGAATATCCCAATTCCTTTCATGCTCCAAGTTCTCCTAATCTAGAAGAATATTTGTCAGCTACCCCAGGCTCAGACTGTAGCAGAGGGAGTAGGGCCGAGGCACCAAGCATCTTCCAGGCCACCACCGCCTGAGGCTCAGCACGCTGCTGCTGCCCACCAGCCGTGTGCTCTCGGCAGGCAGCACTCGGGACCAGTGCAGGGTGGTCACACCGGGTACCACCATCTCTCTAGCTACCTAGCAGGGAGGGATTTCTGGATGGAAACAATTGAAGGAATAGATTGATGGAAAACAGCCTGTGTTTCCTATTTGCAGCTCAACAAACTCTGCTTGGGTGAGTGGAGGGAGGGTGCGTGGTTTTGCAGTACCAGCTTCCTGCACAGAAGTGACAGCTCTTGTCTTTTCTAGCAAATGGCCAGGGTGTGAAACAGGGTCGTATGAACTGGAAGATGCTGCTGCTGTTGCTACTGCAGCCACCAACTGCTGCCAGCGCGTGAGTTCCTCTAGCTGGATTCTCACCTTCTCCTGGGAGTCAGGGCATCTGCAGCAGGATTCAATGAGGTTGTAAAATGGGTGCTAAAAGCAGGGAGAGGCTGGTACTTAGGAGCCTGTGTGAAATGGCAGAAAACCTTCCACTGGGTTGGATAAAGAAAAGACTTGCCAGGTGCGAGTAGCTTAAGCCTGTAATTCTAACTACTCAGGATACTGAGATCTGAGGATTCAGGTTTGAAGCCAAACTGGGCAGACAAATCCAAGAGACTCTTATCTCTAGTTAACCAGCAAAAAGGCAGAAGCGAATGTGTGGTCCAGTGGCAGAGGGCTAGCCTTGAGTGAAACAAAGTCCTGAGTCTAATGCCCAGTACCAGCATAAAAACCAAAAACTCAAATATAAACACAGGTTTATTTATTTATTTTTATTTTATTTTGTCGGTCATGGGGCTTGAACTCTGGGCCTGGGCGCTATGCCTCAGCTCTTCAGCTCAAGGCGAGTGCTCTACCACTTGAGCTACAGTGCCACTTCTGGATTTCTAGTGGTTTATTGGAGATAGGAGTCTCACGGTCTTTCCTGCCTGGGCTGGCTTTGAACCGTGATCCTCAGATCTCAGCCTCCTGATTAGCTAGGATTACAGGCGTGAGCCACCGGTGCCCAGCTAAACACAGGTTTATTTATCAAGTGGGGAAATTACAGGACAGAGGTAAGATAGATAGATGAGTCAGGAAAATTATATGATTTTTTTAACAAATATCAGAGATACTAGATTCAGAAGTTGAATCCAGGAGATTCTCCATCTATCTTCTCCTTTGAGATGATTAAAAAAATAATAACTTCAACCTTTTACCAATAAACTACCCAGAAAAAGCTGGAAGTGATGCTGTACTCAAGTGGTAGGGCACTAGTCTTGAGCACAAAGATGCTCAGGGACAGCCCCAGACCCTGAGTTCAAGCCCTAGGACCAGCAAAAACAAAACAAACAACAATAACAACAACAAAAACCCAACCCAAAGATGAGATCACAAGGTCTCTGACAGAAAATACTGTAATTAAACTTCTCAGCCACTGGTGATCCCAGCCCCATAGACTGGACCTAGCAATAGGAATTTCTCACAGGCAATCTCTATAAGTGCTCAATCCCTAGGCGAATGCTGCTGATCTTACTCTGGCGATATTCTACTGAAAGTGTATTTGTAACAGGTGCTTAAACTATTTTTGCTGCCAAGAATTAGCTAAAAGCAGGAGAATAAACTGCATCTGTACTTCCATTTTGTGTTTGCCTCCATTTAAGTTCTCTCCACAGTCATGTTGCAATCCCCTTCAGTTCCAGGCAAGTCTGGACTGGTCTTAAGGACCTTATGACAAGGACTAAAACGAAACCTAAAGAACTTCAGAGCTTTGCAGGGCAGATCACTCCCAAATGAGGATACTTACTGATCAATAATGCTCAGGATGCACTCTAGAGCTGGAGAAGTCATCTCATGGGAACCCATTTGTTCCCCTCAACATCTTCAGACCCCAAGAAAACCACAGGTGAGATAATGTCCAGCTAAAGCCAGATCTCTTAAACTATTCACACCTTTGCCTCCTCTGCCTAATACTTCCACATGCTCACATCTGAACCAGAAACTGCCTGAAGATGAACTAAGGTACCTTTTTTGTGTGGTATCATGCTGTGTAAGCTCTTCCTTTACCATGTTTCTTTCCTAATAAACTTTTCTATCACATGTACGGCATGCATTCTTGCCTGAATTATTTTTATATTAGACCCAAGAATCAGGGTTTATTAGCTGTACTAAATTTCTGGTAACAAAATCACCGTACTATACCAAATACTTTGCCCTCATCATGTCATTACATTCTCAAAAATGATATTGTCAGAGAAATACGATTCCCATTGTACATAGGAAAAAGTTGAAGCTCCGAGACTTTAGTTTCCTGGAGTCTTGCTACCAGAATACGGTTGTGCCCAGATCTGATTCCTAAGTCTTACTTAACCACTACACACTGCCACCCTATGTGGTTTGGTATAACTTATAAAATCAAAGTCTGAAAGCCCAGTATTATTAAAAAGGCTTTGCCTCATCTGTCAACTGAATTTACTGTAGGATAAAGAGAATCCAAAGCATTTCATAAACCACCCAGCTCTCAGCAGTAAATGCAAAACCAGGGAATCTTCTCCTAGTCTTGGTGGGCGAGTGCTTGCTATCTGCATACTAAAACCTCAAAAGTGCTTTTATTTATTATCATCCTGCCAGGACCTTTTGTCAGGAATTTTTACTGCTTTCAAGTGACAGACACATCCATCCTTTAGGTAGAAAAGGGCTTGTCAGGATCACCCAGTCCCAGAAGCCTCTGGGGCACTAAGTGGGAAAGCATTTGACCAACCAGTCCACGAAATGCTGCTCTGTGCACTGGAGCCTTTGGGATTCAGGACATGCCACCCCAGACAAGGCACTTAACCTTTGAGAAAACAGCAGAAGAGGGAGCACCCTTTCTTCCTTCCATCCTCTGAAGAGACAATACCATAGGAGGGTCCTCTCTGATCTCCTTTTCTCATAAAAGCCTTCATACCGGAAGGAAGGAATGTCATAAGAGGGTACCAAAAAGGACCCAGCTCATCAAATCAGATCTAATTATACTTCTATATAAAAGCCCACAAAAATACACAGATTTCCTTATTTCTTTGTGGCTCTTTCGCTGTAGCTCCTGTTTGGGTAACACTTGCACTAAACAAAAGTGCATATTCTTGGATATTACCTTTAGTTTTTTATAATGTGTATGCTATTTATTTTCTTGTTCATCCTTCCTGTTGTTGGAGGAATTGAGCTGTGAATCTTATGATAGGTGGCAAAATGATGGTTCTTCTTTTCCTGTACTGAGCTCCACTTCATCCCGGGGCAAACTTCATCTTGGACAAGGCAGAGATTGATGAAAGTGTTGTTGGCTTTCTTTGCCAGGCTCATTTGTATTTTTGGATGCCCCAATTAGAGCATTTGACTTATCTCCTAAGTGAAAATAAATCTTCTGGTCATTTTCACCTTATGCATACACATGATTAGTTTAGTTTCATAGTATGTATGCCACAAAATAGAAGACATTTCCCAGTGGACAGAGCCTGAACAGTAGGAGCTGGTGCAGGAAATACAGTAACACTGCTGGATGCCAAGTGTGGAAGGTAGGGTCCTGGCAGGGGCTGGCCATCAAAACTCAGCCCTAGGGGGAGGGAAGGGATAATAGTAGAAAAAGGAGGGGGTGACAAGAAATGTACTCATTACCTTACTCATGTGACTGTAACCCCTCTCTACAGCCTCTTTACAATAAAATAATATTTAAAAACTCAGCCCTAGGAAAGCAGTGTGTGTGGAATAGTGGGGTAGGCCCTACCCTGACAATGAAGACTACCTAATCTTGAATCTTCTTGTGTTATGGTATCTGGTTGAAGCCATACCCCCAGAGAACTCACTACATTTCCATTATTTGTGAATTTACCTACATGTTAGAATTTATTTGTAACCCCAAAGTCAAGAGTCCCAGGGATCATTCACAGATGTGTGCCAAGAAGTGACCATTTTGTTGGGTGAGAGGGGAGGTTCAGATGGTAGCTAGCCAGCCCCTGAGCAAAAGCAAGCATCAAATAGCAAGTTTCAGTCCTGGTCTCAGACAATCTTTTTTAAATGAACATTTTGAAAACCCTGATGCATAAATTTCCAGCTGAAATCAAACAGGGTGACGCTTAGCCTTTTTTTTTTCAGCTGTCATACTATAAACAAGTGCCTGTTTTCCAGGTCTAGGGAAGTGCTTCATTTTTTTCTTGTTGTTTTTTTTGGGGGGGGTTGTTGTTTGTTTTTAGTTTTTTTATTTTTATTTTCAAGGTGATGTACAGAGGGGTTACAGTTACAAGTAAGGTAGGGAGTACATTACTTGTCCAACTTGTTACCCCTTCCTTCATTTTTCAGGTAAACATTTATACAATACCCCAAATCAAATGCAGTGACAACAGGGGATAAAGCATAGCGGGGAAAGACACAAAATAAAAAAGAAATCACATAGTACACTAAAAACAACAACAACAACAAAGAAAAACCTCATTTTTTTGCATTTATACACATTTTGTTGGTTATTTTTAAATGACCCCCAAATAAGATGCTGCAGGGCTGTGTAATGTTGTAAGCGCAGGAAAGTTGTCATGTCCCTCACAGAGAAAACAAGGGTTCCCATAGCTTTACTCAGGCTTGAATTCTTTATAGTTGGCCATGAGTTCAATGAGACAAATGCTGCAATTGAAGTAAAAACATGAAACATAACTACTTATAAGAAAAATATTTGGTGCTGGTGGTTTATGCCTATAATCCTAGCTATTCTGGAGGCTGAGATCTGAGGATTGCAGTTTGAAGCCAGGCTGGGCAGAAAAGTCATGAGACTCTTATCTCCAATTAACTATCCCCAAAACACCAGAAGTGGAGCTGTGGCTCAAGTATAGAATTCTAGCCTTGAGAAAAACATATCAAGGACAGTGCCTAGGTCCTGAGTTCAAGACCAAGACCAGCAAAAAATAAGAAAAATAAAAAATTTTGGAGTTGGTGGTTGAGCACCACCCCTCCCCCAAAATCATAATTAGAATTAGCTTTTCCATATTTTATTCCACATTGTTCCCTTAATAGTTATTTTAAAAGTTAATAGGTTTTATTTCAATATTAGTTAATATTTTACTGTTTCACATTGTTCTATGAAATTAATTTCATTTCAATTGGATTTACGTCTCATTTGTTATCTTGCTAGTTTGTCTTCCTTAGCTTTAGATATATGCACATGCTTTGACATTTCAGTGGCAAGCTCCCTTTGAGGAAAGGACTCTTGGTCCATGGTCACCTCCTATGCTGAATCACTTCATAGCTATGTCTGCTGGCTCTCTAACTCTCCTCTTAGAGATGTATATGTGACCAAGAAATCTTAATGCTGAGTATATATTTAGTCCCTGAAGCCTCTTTAAAGCCAACAAACATTTGACAGGTACAGAATTTCCCTATTTTCACTATTTTGTGCAGGATGTTTGAGAGGAAGAATCCAACATAAATCATTAATATTTAATATATATCTTTCAAAAAAACTGGGTGCCAGTGGCTCACACATGTAATCCTAGCTATTCAGGAGGCTGAAGTCTGAGGATTGCAGTTAGAAACCATCCCAGGTATATTTTAGATATGAGACCCTTGTCCATTGTATGGCTAGTGAAGATCTTCTCCCAATCTGTGGGCATTCTATTGATCTTGCTAGCTATGTCCTTGGCCATGCAGAAGCTCTGCAATTTCATGCAATCCCATTTGTCCAACCTTTCTTTCACTTGTTGTGTTTCTGGGTCTCTATTAAGAAAATTTTGGCCTGTGCAAGGAGACCTAGGGTTTCTCCTATTCCACCCTGTAATGTTTTCAGAGTGTCTACTTTGACTCTGAGGTCTTTGATCCATTTGGAGTTGATTCTGGTGCAGGGTGATATATAAGGATCTAGCTTTAGTTTTCTACGTTAGGTGAAATGAACCCCAAGATAAGGATTCAAATGTTTTTTCTTTCATGGGATTGTTTCCAATATATTTATAAGATGATTTCTTTGTAGCTTTGTATGTACCTCCCCCATGGTATAAGCCCTGCTTTCACTGTATTTGATGTTGATATAATTGTGGAGGGGCAGGGAAAAAACCAAATTGTTTAAATAGGGATACAGTTGGACCCATTACAATAATGAGATGTACAAGGCATTATGTCAAAAAATGAACTTTACAACTTTGGTGGGGTGGGGGGAGGTGGTGGTAAGGGGGTGTGGGGGTGGAGGGGTGGAGAGGGGAAGGAAAGGTATGGGGAAACAAAGGAGGAGGCAACAATGCTTGATAAGAAATGTATTCACTATCTTGCCCATGTAATCGTAACCCCTCTGTATGGTATTTTGATAATTAAAATAAAATAAAATAAAAAATATAAGCCATCCCAGACAGGAAAGTATTAAACTGTTATCTTCAATTAACACAAAAAAAAGAAAAAAAAGGAAGGAAGGAAGGAAGAGGGCTGGAAGTAGAGCTGTGTCTCAAGTGGTAGACCATTAGCCATAAGCAAAAACACTCAGGGACAGTGCCTAGTTCCCAAGTTCAAGCCCTAGGACAAGCATTAACAAAAATGAAAGAAAGAAAATTCAAAGACACTGTGAATTAAGTGTCTTTAAATAAGAACATATATCTGACATATGGACTGGTTGACTCTGGGTTGAGTTTTGCAGGAACCTAATATTGTTTTGCCACTAGAAGCCATGTTTTACTGATTGCAATAATTCTATAGACCTAAGATTCTAACTGAACAAACTCTCGCAAACAATAAGAACCAATGAAATGAATGAAAACAAAATGCATATGTAAGATCAAGAGGTTCTCAGAACTGCTAAAAAGTGCCACGGAACTCTCTTATAGGAACTCAAGGAAATCCATTGGTAAATAGTCCTAAAGTCTTGTCACAAAGTAGCAAGAACGGTATTCAAACAGATCATACTAGCTATGTGCTAGAAAAACTACTATTAGTTCAAATCTTTTGAATTCCTACCACCTGCAAGCAAATCTATTCTCAAGAAAAGTATACATAAATATTTACATCTCTGTTAATGTTGGGTAATTCTCAAAGGCATTTTAGGAAGCCAAACTTTGTTAACTTTGTTAAATAGTCTATGCAAACAAAATATAAGAAAAGCTAGAGATGTGACCTTTTTATTACTCCAGTACCCCAGATAAGTGTTTTTCATGGTAGCACATAGACTTTCCTTATCATATTTGGGGGCTATCTCCCTAGATCTACCTAGAGAGATATCTGATCTATAAATACCATGCATTAAACCCTGTATACTCTCTGCATTTTCTTATGCATATAAACTTATAATAAAGGTTAACTCATAAATTGGGCACCGTAACAAATTAACGAACACAATGAAAAATAAGACAATTACAACAATCTACTGTAATCAAGATGCTAATCTTACTTTTTCATTTAAAGGAAGCACTTTAGCTTCTGTCTCTGGCATATCCAAATTTCTAGCATCACTACTCTTAGGTTGGGGGCCATTCTTAAGTAAAATAAGGATTACGTGAACATAAGCACTGTAAACTCATGGCAGGTGATCTGATAACTGACATAGGTATTACTCCAGGACTCATGGGTGGGTGCATGGGGTTCTCAAGGTGGATACACTGGTCCAAGCAATGATTCACATCCTGGGCAGGACCGAGAGGGCTGGCAGGAGATTTTACTGTGTCATTGTGTATGGCACATTATGTAAAATTCATGAATTATTTATGTATAAATTTTTCATTTGATATTTTTGGACCATAGTCAATGTAGGTAACTGAACTTATTGAAAACTAAACCACAGAAAAGAGGGGGATGGCTGTATATAAAGTAAACATCAGTCAAGCGATCTTCAAGATGCTGGCTAGATTAGCAAAAAGAGAAGGACATCTAAAAATCTTTTTTACAGGTGGATATTTATGAATCCTTCCAACATGGCTTCTGCGCAGACAACTGTACAACTCATTTTTTTAAGAGGCCAGAACTGAGAAGTAGGAAATCATTTCTTTTCTTCCTGCTGACTCCATTTAGTCTAGGAATCCTCCTCTGCAGGTTGATGATAGCCTCAAGGAAACGTGCTTTATTTCTTCCTAAATGGACTATGTTTCTTTCTAAGTTGTCCTAAGTTTCTTCATCTTATGAAGTATTTGGGGGATTGTAAGGATTATAAGGTTTCCTTGATATTGTTCAAATTCCCGAACTCCTAATTTCCTAGATGCCTTCAGATCCTTTGCCAGACCACTCAGGCTGATGAAGGGAACTAATGCTGACCATAATCTGGAAGACAAGAGCTGCTCCCTTGCTCCCTCATCTCTACATCATCATTGGTGCAAACCTGTGACTCACCTTGGCTTTCCCAGCACTGAAATGTGGAGGCAAAGATCTTGAAGCTGCTGTTACCTTGGCTCTTGTCTGGGCCAAATTACCTGAGCAAAAAAGACAAAGAACTTAAATTGAAGGGTAAGTTAAAGTAATTAGATCGTGAGTGATTTTTCCCCTTTATGCCCCAGTATTTTAAGAATTTTTAAAAAAATGATTTACTCTGAATTTGAAAAATTTTGAAATTCAATTACATAAATTATAATAATTCTTTTAAAATCAAAGACAAGTGTTACCACCTTCTATGAGCATTAAAAAAATATCAAAAAGTAACTAATTCACTCAACAAATCAGGAATGGAAAGAAATTACCTCAGCAGGATAAGAGCTATACATGACATACCTAACACCACACTCAGCTCTTCCTCTAAGACCGGAAAGAGGCAAAGGATGTACATACTCACCACTTCTATTAAGCATATTGGAAGTTCTGATCATTCAGATCAGAAAGGAATAAGTAATTTAAATAAGATTATATCTGCTCACAGATGACATGACCATATAGACAATCCTAAAGATCTACATTTAAAAATTACTGTCATGACCAGGTGTCAGTGGCTCATACCTGTAATCCTAGCTACTCAGGAGGCTGAGATCTGAGGATCACCATTCAAAGCCAGCCCAGGCAGGAAAGGCCATGAAACTCCTATCTCCAATAAATCACCAGAAAACTGGAAATGGCGCTGTGGCTCAAGTGATAGAGCACTCATCTTGAGCTGAAGAGCTGAGGGACAGCGTTCAGTCCCAGAGTTCAAGCACCCTGACCACCACCAACAACAACAATGAAACACTGTCATGGGGTTGGAGGCATGGCTAAATTGGTAGAGCACTAGCTCATGTGCAAAAGGTTTGGTCATCTCAGACAAAAAAAAAAAAAGGGAAGGAAGGAGGGAAGGAAGAAAGGGAGGGAGGGAAAAATTATTGTCAGAAGTAATAAATGAATTGAGACAAGCTGCAGTGTCAATTAGATACAAGCTAGTAAAAAAAGCCAGCAGGGAGTTGCTGCCTAACAACTTGCAGATGGCAGGATAAGCTGACAACTCAAAACCTGCCTGACAAGGACAAGGGAGAAGGGAGCTACAAAAGAATGAGAAAATAAGGACAAGAGAGTATGGAAATGAGGACTGGACAGTCTCCTAACAGAAAGGAGAGTCACCAATCAGAAAGCCACCTGATTCTCACTATTTAATCCAAAGCCAAGCTCTGAAATGAAGAAGATGGCTGAAGATTGCCAAGAGAAGAGACAGAGGCTGAATTTCCAGCTTTTGATGGTATGTCTATGGCACGCACTCTCTCAGGCATTTCTCTATTATCTTTACTTATGTTTGTGTCTTGCCTGAATTCTATTGCCAGACCTATGAACCGAGGTTGTCTAGTTGCTCTAAACTTTCTGGTAAGATATTTGATGCATTGGCTCAGAAATTAGAAAATAAATGTCTTTTCTGACCTGGACTTATTGAATCATTACACCAGCATGCATATTAACATACAAAAGTCAGTAATATTATGCTGGGCACCAGGGGCTCATACCTTCAACCTTAGCAACTTAAGAGGCTGAGATCTGGGGATCCCAATTCAAAGCCAACCTGGGCACAAAAGTCCCAGTGAGACTCTTATCTACCAAAAATGCCAGAAGTGGAGCTGTGCCACAATAAGGCCCTGAATCAAGCATCAGGACTGACACCCCCCCAAAAAAGAGTTACATTGTAATTCACTAATAAGGAATTATCTGAAAAAGAAATTAAGGGAAAATTCCATTCATAATGATAGCATAAAGAATGAAAGACTCTGGAATAATTTTAATCAAGAAGGTTTTTTTAAAATCCACAAAACTTATGTACTAACAAGTGTGAGACATTACTGAAAGTGACCGAAGACGATACAAATAAATGAAAGGACATCAAAGCTAATGGACCAGGAGACTTAAAATTGAATTTTTTTTAATTAAAAATTTGAATAGTATCCAAACTATTGATCTACAACTCAATACAATCTGCATAAAAATCCCAAAGGCATATTTTGCAAAAACAAGAAAAAAAGTCCTAAAATCCATTTGGAACCAGAAAATTGCCAAAACAATCTTGAGAAAGAACCAACCTGGAAGCTTCATATTTTCAGACTTAAAACATATTGCAGCTGGGCACTGGTGCTCACGCCTGTAATCCTAGCTACTCAGGAGGCTGAGATCTGAGGATCATGGTTCAAAGCTAGCCTGGGCAGGAAAGTCTGTGAGACTCTTATCCCCAATAAACCACTAGAAAACCGGAAGTGGCACTGTGACTCAAGCAGTAGAGCACTTGCCTTGAGCTGACGAGTGAAGGGACAGTGCCCAGGCCCAGAGTTCAAGCCCATGACCGACTCCAAACAAGAACAACAAAAAACATATTATAGTCATATGCAGTCATATTCAATATACACTAAGTAAAAACTGAACTACATAATTTAAGGGTACAGATGGGGGGAGAATAAGAGGAGAGAACAATGGATTGATTAAGATAGGTTATACTCCTAACCTGACTTCAGGAATTGCAACCTCTTTATACAACTATTCAACAATAATTTTTTTAAATATTACAAAGATACAGTAACTGAAACAGCATGGTTTTAGCATAAAGGTGGAAGTAAAGACTAATGAAATAAAACTGGGCTCAGAATAAACCTACTATATATGACCAAATGATCCTTGACCAGGGTGCTGAACCTACCCACTGCAGAACACAAATAGTAATAGGAAACAAATAGCATTAGAAACAAATAGTATTAGTAAAAATGAAATTTAATCCTTATCTTACTCTATATACAAAAATCAATTCAAAATAGTTAAAGATGCAGATGTACGACATGTGGCTATAAAACTCCTAGAAGAAACATTTTATAACATTAGTCTTACAACATTTTGGGGGACAAGATACTAAAAGCACAAAACAGACAACAATTTTTTTCAACAAAACCAAAATAGACAAGAGAGTATGCAAAATGAATAGTTTTTGTGTGGCAAAGGAAACCACCAAGAGAACAAAGAGAAAACCTGTATGGTAAGAGAAGCTCTTGCTAACCATATATCTGATAAAAAGACATAAGGAACTCTGTAATCAATCGCATGAGATAAACAGTAACAAAAGCATCCAATTAAAATATGGTCAAAGTGCTGGAATAGACATTCCAAGAAGGCATACACATCTCTAACAGGCATGTGTTGAAATATTATTTGGCTTTAGGAAAGGAAAACTTGTTATCTATCACAACAAATGGATGAATCTGAATGCTATTATGCTAAATGAAATAAGACAGTCACTGACCCACAAATGTTCCATGATTCCACTTATATGAGGTTTCAAACTCAGAAGGTAAGGATAGAATGGTAGTGACCAGGGTCCGGGTTGGATGGGAGTAGGAAGCTTCTGTGTGGAGAGTATTTAGTGTCAGTCATGCAATATTGCACCAACAATGTACATAGAGTGAAGGTTTCTGTATTGTGCAGTTAAAAATGTATCGAGAAGAGGTAGGTTTCAAGTTACATATTTTTCTACAAAAAAAAATAGGGTACTGCAAGTCACTGGAAGAGATTAAACAAGAAAGAAAAAAATGTTGAAGAGAGTTTTGCTGAGAAAGTTGAACAGCAGAGAACCCCACTGTGAGGACTGAGAAGCTGAAAAGATTAAGACACAGGATCTTGTACTAGAAAAAAAATCTATCTTTACCTCTAGTCACCCAGGTTAACAGAAGAACAAGAGAGAAGGATGTATGTTAATTAAGTTAAGCTTTCTATAATATGGGAGCCTTCCTAAGAAAATGAAATGGAGAAGAGAAATATGATAGGAAAAAGAATATGATCTAGTGGCACAGCTTGAGCATTGCTAATTTGAAACTCCCAAAAGCTCCAAAATCTGAAAATGTTGAGAGCCTCTGTGATGCCACCCCCACCCCACTGAACCTTGTTTCAGGCAAAAACATTTTTGTAGCATTACTATTTTGGGTGTTAGCGACTGAACACAGATCCTTGCACGTGATGAGATAAGTTCTACCACTGAATTAGGCCCTAGCCCCATGCACAAAAGTTACTTGAAATATTATACAAAATAAGGAATGGGTTATAGCTCAAAAGTAGAGTACTTGTTAGGTCCTGGATTTAATCCCCAGCAACACACACTATCTATCTATCTATCTATCTATCTATCTATCTATCTATCTATCTATCTGTCTGTCTGTCTGTCTGTCTGTCTGTCTGTCTGTCTGTCTGTCTGTCTATCATCTGCCTTTGTACCTATCAATCATCTATCTTATGTAAGAATGTATGTATGTATATACACATATGTGTGTGAATATATGTATATAAGGAAGAGAAAGAGAATATGAGATTACCTTCAGAATGGATACTAAATAGGGTGTGCATGAAACAAATTTGTCTTTAGACTTAGGTCCCATTCTCAAGATAACTACTTAGTACATGCAAATATTATCAAATCTGAAAGGCCCAAAATCAGTAACACTTCTGGTCCCAAGTATTCTGTACAAGGGTCTCTCAGCCTGTATTATTATGGTGAAGATAATGGTTTGCTGTGAATAATTCAATAGGTCTCAAAGCAGAGAGTAAAAGGCAAGAGACTAGGAAATTTTCACCAATTAATTCTCTTTGTGAGCAACCAAATCACCCAAGAAAAGAAGAGGGAGAAGAAGGAGTGGGGAGAGAGGGATGACTGACAGGCAAACCACTCTCAATCCTGCTGCTTTTCTGTCTTTGAAGGCTCAGCCTGGCTTCTCAAACTCCCCCCTCCCCTCCTGATTTACCCTCCCACACTTCACCAAACCAAGTGTGTAAAGAGAGGTGTTTGCATTTTTACCTATACTGTCATTTGGTTCTATAGCAATTTTTTTTAAGTTGTCAATGAAAAGAAGTGTTATAATTTGTATATATGCAAGATGCTCAAGATTTCAAAGTTTTAGTAAGTGTAGCACAAAGATGTCCAAATGTTTCCTCTGGTGATATCTTCAGAGGCTAAAGTGTGATTAATAGCCCAGAAAGAACCCTTTGAAGCAGGATTGGTGAC